GAGGAGAGACCGCTAAGGGAGGGGGGTGGGAGGGGGGTGGAGGATAGACCACTAGGGGAGGGTGGGGGGAGAGGAGAGACCACTAATGCAAAGTCGGGGAGAAAAGGAGACCACTAAGGGAGGTGGGGGGGAGAGGAGAGACCACTAAGGGGCAGGGGAGATCTCTAAGAAATGGAAGGGAGAGCTCTATAGGACAGGGGGCAGGACAGGGAGCTCTTTCACACCACGCGCACACACACACACACACAATGCATCCCTATACACACAGAAACACAACATGCTTCCCTTACACACAGAGAAACACACAATGCAACCCTTACACATAAAGACAATGCATCCTTTGCACATATACACAGAAACACACAATGCATCCCTTACACACATGCAAACACACACTGCTTCTCTTACACACACACAGAAACACAATGCATCTCTTACACACACTCAACGCACCCCTTACAGACACACACACTGCATCCCTTACATACACATAAACTCACTTTGCATCCCTTATGCATACAAACACTGATTCACACAATGCATTCCTTACACACAACAAGAAACACACAATACATCCACTACACACAAACACACTGCATCACCTACACAAACTGGTATTCCTATACACTACATTCCATAAGCACACACATTAGATCCTCTACAGTAACACATAACACATCCCCTACACACTCTACTCCCTGTGAGCGAACTCATGGGTGGAACATGTAGGTGGATGTATGGGTGGGCTTTATGGGCATACTCACCGTCAGGCCCTGGGGCCCAGACCTTGAGCTATGTAAGAGGCCCCAAAAAATGGAGCTGCTTCCCGTTCTCACAGAATGTTGTGACCACAGTTACAAACAGCCTCCAGAGATCCTGTTCTACACCAGACCAGTGGAGCCAGACTGCAGCCAGAGCCCATCACCATCCTCATCTGATTGTAAGTAGGCAATCTAGTATATTATTAGTGACACTAATCTCTAATTTACCTCACAATAAATGGACACTATAGTCCCCAGAACCACTGCAGCTTAATAAAGTTGTTCTGGTGTATATAGTTTGTCCCTGCAGGCTTTTTAATGTAAGCATACACTGTGTGCAGCACTGGCACTAGTTCATATGGCAGATCATATGGGTGGGGCATTGTATCCCGAGAGAGGAGAAAATCTTTCTTTTGTCTAGGGCGGCAAAAATCCTTGCACCGGCCCTGAGTGTACCGTTCAAGATGTTGAACGGTTTGAACAAAAAAAAACTGTATTATAGACTCTTGCAGAGGGACAGAAGTAGAAGGCCAGGATGCTTTTTATAAAGGAGATTGGAAATCCCATTTTTAATAAGATAGAGTTCATGTAATCCCAGTTAAGATGATGAAATGCTATTTTGGCATCTAATGCCTGGACCACACCTTGTTTTTTGCTATGTTGTGCCCAATGAATTAAGTTAATAAAAACCTGGTGTTATCTCCTTCTTGTTTCCCTGGAACAAACCCTGCTTGTGCTTTCGAAATTAGGTCGATCAGTATACCGTTTAATCTAGTCGCTAAGAGTTTTGCATATAGTTTAACATTTATTTATTTATTACTGGTATTTATATAGTGCCAGCATATTTCATAGCGCTTTACAATAGTATCAAAGTGGGAGATTTAACAATAAATGAGACAATTACAAAAACTTACTGTCACAATAAGTTGAAGATGACCCTGCTCAAACGAGCTTACAGACTATAGGAGGGGGGGAAACACAACAGGACAGGAGGTAGCAATCAAATACGGTGGAGTGAAGCAGAGCTGGAGGAGAGAGTAGAGTGCTGCCCTTTAGGAAAGAGCAAGGGACAGGTAGAGGTTACTCTGGGAGGCCATAAACTTTCCTAAAGAGATGGGTTTTCAGGCACTTTTTTTATATGATTGAAGACTCGGGGAGAGCTTTATGGTTGTAGGCAGACTATTCCAAAGAACAAACAAATAAATAATAGTGAGAGAACATGAATAATATTACCCACAAATGATGAATCACTTATCCTGTAATAAAACAAAGAGAAGGAAACATAGGGTAATAAAGTAAAAACTATAAATAAAATATATGTGTTGGTCTCACTCACATATACAGAGCCACTTAAAAAGCTGGCTCAGACTGCATGCCTTGAACAACTAGACGTTCCCATGGACTTATCTTCAAAATTCTTACATGAAGTACCTCCAAACAGCTGGTTTAGGGGGTTACAACGATGACTTTATTTTCCAAAATGACAGGAAACAGATTAAAAAGTATAAAATTCAGGAAACAAACAACACCTAATGCGTTTCGGCTATCAAGCCTTCATCAGAGGTATTGAAAATTGTCCAAACATGCAGTCTTTTATATCTTCTTTTTGGCGCCATTTTTCCACTCTATCACTTCCGGGTTCCATGTCACTTCCGGGTTTTGCGTCAGGACGTCACTTGTGTTCCGATGTCACTTCCAGTTACGTCTTTACGTTCTGACGGCACTTCCGGTTACGGCCTTACGTTGTGACGTCACTTCCGGTTTATATTTCCGGACATATCAAGAGTGTCCGGCGCCATTTTATATCAGGGCAAATATCATATTAGTACATGTTAAAACCAAATGAGATACATAAATATTTCACAATATGCCAATCACTCCACAAGCATATTAAACAATTTTCTTAAATGGTTTACTCAATTAATACATACTATAAAACCCAATATAAATCACATATCCATACAAAATAAAAACACTTAATAAAATACATCTTCTAAAGGGAACAATATAACTAATTAATATTATACACCTTTTGGGATAAAGGCCTAAGAAATAAATAGAAATGTTAAAAAGGAGAGAAAATTCAATTATATAAAAACATAATAAAATAAAATTAATAAACATTAATAAAAATCATTAAAAAATCACAAATATTTGTTAATCTCAAAATCTATATTTAAACCTTGTGGTGCCATGGTCTCCAACTCAAACATCCATTTCATTTCTGTTCGACCCAATTTATAATCTTTATTGCCTCCTCTCCAATGAACATTAATCTCATCTATACCAATGAATTCTAATCATTTCGGATCCCCATTATGAACTTCTAAATAGTGTTTGGACACACTATGTTGAGCAAATTTTCTTTGTATGTTATAGATATGTTCCCTTATTCTTGTTTTTAAGGTTCGTGTCGTTTTACCTATATATTGGTAACCGCATTGGCAACTCAATAAATAAATTACATCCCTACTGGAACAGGTGATAAATGATTGTATTAGATACTCTTTTTTAGTGACCGTTGAAAAGAATTTATCCACTTTTCTATTATTATTGGTTCTGGATGTACAACCTCTACATGTACCACAATAATGGAAACCCTTAGTACCTTTTAAAAAGTTACTTCCTTCTACTCCAGTTCTTTTTTTATCTAAAAAGCTTTTAGTTAAAATTTGTTTAAAATTATTCGCTCCTCTAAAAATAAATTTTGGTGGGGGCGGGGCCTGCCCGCTGAGCTGGATGGACGTGGGGCGCCTTGGCTCCACGATGAAAGACCATTAATCAGCCCAAAACTACTATATCTCCCCCTAAAAAACAACCGGCAACTATGAGAAGGCACTGGGGACCTGAGCCACAACACTTGGGGCGGCTGTCGGCCCATACCCTACCGGCAAGGCTGACTGCTGTGCGGATGGTGTTGCGGCCCGTCGTGAGGCTCTGGCGGGAGAAACGGCCGATCTCCCGCGCTTAGTCCGGCGGGTCCTCCCGCACGCCGGCAAAGGGCCTCGTTCTCCCCCCCCTGTGGGCCGGGGGGGTTATCCCGGACCCCACCGGGAAGGCGGAGATCCCTTTGGGCAAACAGTGAGGTGAACAGACCACTCATTGACCGCGTGGAACAACCCAAGATGGCAGCCGCACCCAGTATAAGCCGAAGCACGGAGGCAGCGACAGTCAAGCAACGGCTGGGTACTGTCTGGAAACGGAGGCTGACCTGACAGTTATGCATCGACAGCGGCTAGTGGAGAACCCTCTCCGCCCATCAGACAACCCTGAAGGGTGCACATTCGTTAAGTAACCATGGCTAATAATCGTTTTACCTGAGGCAACATTTCCTTTGCGGCGGATGGATCTGTGGGGACCATACTGAGACTCTGACCCTGCATTAACATGGAGGAATAAAGGACACTGGACACAAGACTCATTTCCTAGCTGTGACTGATACTCATATATTACTAGGATCCCAGCAGAGCACTAGATACCTTTTTATGTTAACATGCCACTCTGTGTCATTCTCTGTATTATTTTGAGTCTATTAAGATTAACCTGGCTCCTGCAGATCCACATAGCACAAATTTGGAAATCATTTAATAATGAATGAGCACACATGTATATGTTAGCCGACTGACCCAGCGACTCACTGCCCCCTGGTGGTTAACTTTAATTAACTAGAGAAAACTGTATCTGATGTTATTTTGCATAAGCCTGTAACTAAATAGTTATGCAACCACTGTTTAATTAAGCATGCATAGAATAGCTATAAAAGATTTACTTAACAGCACTAAGCTTGTTATATTGTTTTATTCTGCATGATCTATAATTTAAAAATGTGCAACGCATGCGAATGCCATAACCCTGTACATCTTGTTATCTCTCTGTTTGCTGCAGCTGTTGTAGCGCACCAAGCAATGTTACCTCTTTGCAAGCAATAAATAAAGAATTTAAAAAAGAAAAAAAAAATATTGGTTTAAAATCTAAAAACGGAAGGATGTCAGGATCTTCTTTGAGGATGTGCCAATGTTTTCTGATTACTTGCTGTAATAAATAGTTATTAGAACTGTAATTAAAAATAAGGGGGATTTGATCTTTTTGCGTTTCATTTTCTTTTCTTTTCTTATTTTTATATTTTAAAAGTGGTTGTCTCTCTTTTTCTCCACTCTCTCTTTCTATTTTTTCTAATTGTCCCTCATCATATCACTTTTCAAAAAAAAATTATTTTAAAATATCAGCTTGTGTACAGTTTTCTGTACAGTTCCTTTTAATTCTTAAAAAATTGACCCTTGGGTATATTACTTAACCAGGGTTTAAAATGGCAACTTTTGAGAGTTATAAAACTATTAACATCCACTGTTTTAATAAAAATGTCATCTATATATCATTTAAAGAGGACCATATTTGCCCCAATGTCCAGTCTAGAAAAAATTAATTTTTCTTCCCAGAAGGACATAAATAAATTAGCATAACTTGGGGTAAATCTGGTCCCCATCGCTGTTCTTTGAATTTGAAGGAAAAATTCACTCTCAAACCAGAAGAAGTTATTTTTCTAAATAAAATCAATCCCTCTCACTAAAAACTCAATCTGAAGGTCATTCATGTCTCCAGCTTTCTTTAGATAAAACTCAACTGCTTTACAACCTTGCTCATGTTTAATAATTGTGTATAGACGTTTTACATCGCAAGTGGCCACAATATAATCTTTATGCCACTCGAAATTGTCTAAAGTCTGCAATAAATCTTTGGAATCTTTTTCACGCCATATGATTGGCATTTTGATTGAACAAAAATCTCAGGTTCTACACCAGTTAGACGAATCAATTAAGAGAATACAGGTCCAATTGGAACCATTTAAAAATATGAAAGAATTGGATGATATTGCAGATCTAATGGTTAAAAAAAATAATAATATTGAAAATATAGTTATTGAAAACAAGAAAAGAAAATTACAAAGAGATCAGGAAGACTATAGAAGTGGGAACACTAAACCCCCTCAAAGGAATAACAAATATAGAAAGAGAAATAAGAGTTTTTTCCCAAATCAAAGAGAAAGGAGAGATAGTTCTGATAATAGAAAGTGATCTTATTCTTATGGGACAAAAGGATCAATAAAAAAGTAAGAGATCATGGCCTGAAAGAAAAAGTATAGATTTAACGAAAAACCAAGCAGAAAAAGAAGATTGGATAGAAATCAAACCTAAAAAAGCGAGAATGTATGGTAAGACTGAGGAAATTAGAGAAATTCCGAAAAAGTGGACTTTTGGAGATAAGAACCGTACAGTCCCAACCTTCAATAGGTTTGAGAGCCTTAGAAATCTCAGAGACAAGGAAGATTTTTTAGGAAAGAGATCCCTAGAACAGAGGGTTGAGGAAAAAAAGTATACACCCCCTGAAAAGGTTGAGGAAACTAGAAGAGGAGGAAATAGAATTAAAGGAAAAAGAAAAAAAGAAGAAAAACTATTTTTTTTGGGAGAAAGTAAAGAATCAAAAAGGTCTGAAAATTTTAGGGTTTTTAATTTATCAGAATTTTTTTTAACAAAAGCACATTTAAGTATTTTTAATAAAGGTTTTAAGTTTGCTCCAAGTCGTAATTTAGATAAATTTGAATCCTTTTTAGATCTTAATAAATAAAATAAGGGGGATTTGATCTTTTTGCGTTTCATTTTCTTTTCTTTTCTTATTTTTATATTTTAAAAGTGGTTGTCTCTCTTTTTCTCCAATCTCTCTTTCTATTTTTTTCTAATTGTCCCTCATCATATCCCTTTTCAAAAAATGTTTCTTTTAAAATATCAGCTTGTTTAAAATATTCAATTTTTTCTGTACAGTTCCTTTTAATTCTTAAAAATTGACCCTTGGGTATATTACTTAACCAGGGTTTAAAATGGCAACTTTCGAGAGTTATAAAACTATTAACATCCACTGTTTTAAAAAAAGGTCTTAGTTTTTAATAAATCATTATCAATATATATTAAAAGGTCTAAAAAATTGACTTACTCCTTACTAATATCATAAGATAAATTAATATTAAAAAAAGTTAATATTCAAAGAAACAATAAATTCTTCCAAAGTTTCCTTACTCCCTTTCCATATAATAAAAATGTCATCTATATATCGTTTATAAAGTCTGGAATAAATCTTTGGAATCTTTTTCACGCTGTATGATTGGCATTTTGATTGAACAAAAATCTCAGGTTCTACACCTGTTAGACGAATCAATTAAGAGAATACAGGTCCAATTGGAACCATTTAAAAATATGAAAGAATTGTATGATATTGTAGATCTAATGGTTAAAAAAAATAATAATATTGAAAATATAGTTATTGAAAACAAGAAAAGAAAATTACAAAGAGATCAGGAAGACTATAGAAGTGGGAACACTAAACCCCCTCAAAGGAATAACAAATATAGAAAGAGAAATAAGAGTTTTTTCCCAAATCAAAGAGAAAGGAGAGATAGTTCTTATAATAGAAAGGTATCTTATTCTTATGGGACAAAAGGATCAATAAAAAAGTAAGAGATCATGGCCTGAAAGAAAAAGTATAGATTTAACGAAAAACCAAGCAGAAAAAGAAGATTGGATAGAAATCAAACCTAAAAAAGCGAGAATGTATGGTAAGACTGAGGAAATTAGAGAAACTCCGAAAAAGTGGACTTTTGGAGATAAGAACCGTACAGTCCCAACCTTCAATAGGTTTGAGAGCCTTAGAAATCTCAGAGAAAAGGAAGATTTTTTAGGAAAGAGATCCCTAGAACAGAGGGAGAGGAAAAAAAGTATACACCACCTGAAAAGGTTGAGGAAACTAGAAGAGGAGGAAATAGAATTAAAGGAAAAAGAAAAAAAGAGGAAAAACTAATTTTTTTTGGAGAAAGTAAAGAATCAAAAAGGTCTGAAAATTTGAGGGTTTTTAATTTATCAGAAATTTTTTTAACAAAAGCACATTTAAGTATTTTTAATAAAGGTTTTAAGTTTGCTCCAAGTCGTAATTTAGATAAATTTGAATCCTTTTTAGATCTTAATAAATTTTTACGAAAATTGTGTTTAAAGACTTTTTTTGCAATACGTTAGAACCTGAAAAAATCTTACTAGAAAATAATAATATTTTTACCCATATCCCTTTAAAGATTGAATCTTCCTTTTACCCGGTTAGTTATAAATCAGATGTAATGAAAACATTTGAAAGATTATGCTCTAGAGATATTAAGAAAATTAAAACTATTAATAAATACCAAGAAAATTTAACACAAGAGGAAAAGAGAGCACTAAAAGATTTGAAAAATGATAAGTCAATAGTTATAAAACCTGCGGATAAAGGAGGTGGAATTGTGGTATGGCAAAAAGAAAAATATTTAGGAGAAATTTTTAAACAACTTGAAGATGATCAGACATACAAAAAACTTTTAAATAATCCTCTCTCTGATATTAAATTAAAATATAAGACATTTTTAGATGAAGGTCTGAGTTTAGGGATCTTAACGAAAAAAGAATATGAATTTCTAAATGTTAAATATCCAAGAATCCCGGTAATTTATGTATTACCCAAAGTACTTAAGGATGAGACTAATCCCCCGGGCAGACCTATAGTATCTGGGATCGGTTCATTGTTGTCGCCTCTGTCTCAGTATATTGACCAGTTCTTACAAAAAAATGTCATTGAGTGTCCAGCATATCTTAAAGACACCATGACACTTTTACAGACTTTAGACCAGGGGTTCTCAACGTTAGTCCTCAGGACCCCCTACCAGTCCAGGGTTTAGGGATTACCTGAGTGTGTCTCAGGTGTTTAGAAAAAAAAAAACACCTTAGAGTCTAAGGTGTTTTTTTCCCTTTTTCTAAACACATGAGACACACCCTGGACTGGTAGGGGGTCCTGAAGACTGGGTTGAGAACCCCTGCTTTAGACAATTTCAAGTGGCATAAAGATTATATTATGGCCACTTGTGATGTAAAAAGTCTATACACAATTATTAAACATGAGCAAGGTTGTAAAGCAGTTGAGTTTTATCTAAAGAAAGCTGGAGACATGAATGACCTTCAGATTGAGTTTTTAGTGAGAGGGATTGATTTTATTTAGAAAAATAACTTCTTCTGGTTTGAGAGTGAATTTTTCCTTCAAATTCAAAGAACAGTGATGGGGACCAGATTTGCCCCAAGTTATGCTAATTTATTTATGTCCTTCTGGGAAGAAAAATTTATTTTTTCTAGACTGGACATTGGGGCAAATATGGTCCTCTATAAACGATATATAGATGACATTTTTATTATATGGAAAGGGAGTAAGGAAACTTTGGAAGAATTTATTGTTTCTTTGACTATTAACTTTTTTAAATATTAATTTATCTTATGATATTAGTAAGGAGCAAGTCAATTTTTTAGACCTTTTAATATATATTGATAATGATTTATTAAAAACTAAGACCTTTTTTTAAAACAGTGGATGTTAATAGTTTTATAACTCTCGAAAGTTGCCATTTTAAACCCTGGTTAAGTAATATACCCAATGGTCAATTTTTAAGAATTAAAAGGAACTGTACAGAAAAAAAATGAATATTTTAAACAACCTGATATTTTAAAAGAAACATTTTTTGAAAAGGGATATGATGAGGGACAATTAGAAAAAAATAGAAAGAGAGATTGGAGAAAAAGAGAGATAACCACTTTTAAAATATAAAAATAAGAAAAGAAAAGAAAATGAAACGCAAAAAGATCAAATCCCCCTTATTTTTAATT